GGAACTCTGTAAAAAATGGCTGTAATTCCTAAACGGTTAATGCAATATTTTTGTTAAACCCCTTGAATTAAAGCTGAAAGTCTACGCTTCAGTCACATCTTGACTGCTTCATTTCAAATCCACTGTGGTGGTGTACAGAGGCAAAATTACCAAAACTGTGTCACTGTCCCAATATTTATGGACCTGACTGTATTTCATGGACATTCCACAAACCTAAATGTAACTATAAACTGATGAAAGTATTTTGTGTGGTGCTTTAGTAAATGTACTTGTGTAAAAATGTAATTGTTAGCAAATTGCTGTGGTACAAAAGGAATAAAACTCTACAGGACTTTGGTGCGGTTGAACCAAATCACACCACCCCATTGTTAATTATTTTCATTATTAACAGCATGCCCTATCGTGTTTTATTTCTTACATATTCAACACATAATGTAATTCCAGACACCTTAAAATAGACTTCTTAATGTCTAACATTTTTAAATTCAGTATTATGATGATACCCTAAACCCCTAAAGCCCTTAAAGATAATTCAGTTATATTATGATAACTGTCATTAAAGGTTATTTAGTTATGATTTTTTTTTTTTTTTAGTACCGTACTCATTCACCATATTGTTTTCAGGTGCGTGTGTGCAGCCGGAGATTGGAGACAGCTGAGCGGTTTGCTGCAGGTGTCCAGGGTCCTGTTAAAGTACTTTCTTCTGCTAAAGAGGCAGTGCATGGAGCAGACATCATCATTACAGTCACTAATTCTAGTAAACCAGTGCTGTTTGGGGAGTGGGTTAAACCCGGTGCTCACATTGTAGGTTAGAACCTTCTGCATCTTTCACCATGGCATATTAATTAAAAACAATTTCATACAGGTATAGTGTAACTGGAGGACACCAAGCTGTGTAACACATTTCTCTGTAACGTTAGCGGTAGGGGCTTGTCGGCCAGACTGGAGAGAACTCGATGACGTGCTGATGAGAGATGCTGTGATTTATGTGGACAGCAGAGAGGGAGCTGCAGTGGAGTCAGGAGACATCATTCTGTCAGGGGTAAGCCTACACTTTCTTTTAGTATTTGTCACTGATTATTTCCATACTCATATACAGTGACTTATTTAAAATGAAATTCAGAATACATGAAAGACATTCTTTACTATAAATTTATTGTCCTATTTGGAATCCCAGCAATGATATCTGTAATAAGCACTATCACCTATCTCATGACTGAGTACTTGCTTAGCTTTAAACATTTAAGCACATTTAAACTCAATTTCTTGCCTGTTTTTATTCTGATTTATTCATAATGATGTATTAACTTCAAGGGTTAATCTGAATCTATTTTTGGTGTTCCTCCAGGCAGAAGTGTTTGCTGAACTTGGAGAAGTTTTAAATGGAACTCGGCCTGCCTTGCGCAACAAGACAACAGTGTTTAAGTCACTGGGTAAATTCTTTCCGTTAAGGACAGGCAAAATTAGGTTCAAGGAATAATTCGGGCAGTTTCTCACAGGTGGACAGAATTCCAGCTGATAAGAACCTGTGAACTACTAAGTCTCACCAATGTTTGCTCTTTGATAGATGATTTGATATTTAGGGGGCCAAGCACCAAAGGTGTGTAGGAACCCTATTGTTATTCAACCTTTTCTTATTATTAGGGGGCCAAGCACCAAAGGTGTGTAGACACCCTATTGTTATTCTACCTTCTCTTCTTCTTTTCTTCTTCCGCTTCTTCTTCTGGCAGCCCATAGAACTATCTGGTAAAAAGGTGTGAAATTTGGCACACTGATTGGGGAGGGTCTAAGGAACATTCTGACAAAATTTGGGCCAAGTGCTGCCAACGCTCTAGCGACACCATCAGGTCAAATTTTGGCCTAATTTGGAAGTAAGTTTATGTTCATAACTTTTGAACCATGTGTCCAAAATTTAAAAGCCATCTTGGATTTTGTCAAAAACTGTTGTTTTTTTTTGCTACTTCTCCTACAAATTTTGTCCAATCATCACCAAATTTGGCAGACATCATCTTCAGAGTAAGCCTCACAAAACTTTATCAAATAATTTTGAATATTCCAATCTGCTTGTCCGTAATGGGCCAACAAATCTGACAGCAAAGCCGCCAAACAGGAACTGAGGCTGTATCTCAGCAACGACTTTGCTCACTGACACAAACCTTGGTAGGCATCTTCAGCACTATGACCTGAGGCTATGCAAGAAATTTTGTGACAGTGTCACCTACTGGTCAAAGGTTACAGTAACATGCCGAAAATGCTTCCCTCTAAATGCCATTAGTCAAGTCAAGTGGCTTTATTGTCATTTCAACCATATACAGCTAATGTTCCTCCAGGACCAAGGTGCTACATAAAACAAACACAGAACTACAGGAGACTACATATATTTACATAAAGTGCACAGTGCAAACATGTGCAGACAGCACAAGACAGTACAAAACTACCAAAACAAAAGACAATGGGCACAGTAAGTTACAGTGCAGCGCTGACTAGTACACGGTTCTAGTAGGAAGTGAATCAGATGACAGTAGTGCAAAAGAGTAACAATAACAAACAAGTTGCTGTAAATGTAAACATAAGGAGTAGCAGCTGGGTAGAGAGTATAAAGATTATATACAGTATATAATAAATATTGAATATTACGGAGATGTGCAAAAATTGCAGAGAGGATGGGGTGATGTCCAGTTGAATGTGTGTGTTTTCAGTCCAGTCTCTGAGTAAAGCCATGTTCTCATACTGGGAGTCGAACCCAGGCCACCTGGGTGAAAAATCAGGAATCCTGGCCACTAGACCATATGGGACAACTGCACATTATTGCTACTCCTCCTCCAAATTTTGTCCAGTCTTCACCAAATGTGGCTCACATCATCTTGAGACCTGTCTAAACAGCTGTATACTGCCATTGTAGCTGTTAAATGTAATATTAAACAGACAACACACGCCTGACAGGGTTTAATATCAAATCAAGCATTTTTATTGAGCAATTTTCAATAAAAAAAAACAAAACAATATAAAACAGATATAAGTTTGGTGCAGATACTTGCACAAAGTGGGGGGAAAAAAAAGACCCAGACTGATGAGAAAAAACATAAATACCTTAGATGTTTTTAAATTGCAAGAGGAAAAAAATTTTCAGGTCAGAGCAGTAGCAATCACGACCAACGATCAAAGTAGCAGCAGACAACACCACAGGTCGCAGCAGTAGTGGCAGCTGCAGCAGCAGTGCAGCAGCAATTCATCTAGACCTTTCCTCCTACAGTCAGAGAATTCCACCACTGTCCATCGTCAAAACTTACACATCATGAGAGAAACTACAAATCACTCTTGAATCCCTTTGCCTAAAGTTATGGCTCTGCTTTCCTGTGATTGCTTAGGCAACAATTGTAGCACGTCTGTGAATGTGCGGCTCACCGAGTCTGGGTGCTTGGCCCCCGAAAGTGCTGCTTGCAGCTTTAATTACTGTTTTGTTTCCCCTGAGACAATAAGGGGACTTTAAGGCTTTATTTAAAGCTTAACTGTTTACAGCTAGTGATGATTCAGTTTTAGGACTCCATTAGAAATTAAGCATACTGAAGTATATTTGGTAAGATCTGTTTCTGCTTGTTGCTCATACATGCTTATAAATGATTGGCAAAAACTATGAGTCAAGTGTTGAAATAAACATCAGCTGCTGGGTGTAAACGGAAATGGATTAATTATGGTTTCTCTTTTGCAATGCAGGAATGGGGATACAAGATGCAGTCGCTGCTAAGCTTGTGTTTGACAAGTGGAAGAGCATCCAGTGAAGGACATGGTATGAAGAGTCATCAGCAGGCATTCAGAGAACAACTCTAATTTCTAAAACTGAACACAATGACACATGAAGTAAATCTCTATTCAACAGACATAATCGTGACAGTGGAAACTGATTTCAGATGAACTACCTGATTAACACTTGTATGAAATCACTAAAGCTTAGGACAAAGGACACTGTCTTTCATTTCCAGAGAATATTGTTAATACAATACTGTGGGAATAAAAACTTCTTTCACAATGACTGCATAGTAAATGCAGCACATATTAATAAGCATTGAGCCAAATTCTGTTTTGTAATTTAGAGTGCTCAGATGACAGTGAGTCAGTGAAAACTGACTTTTTCTAGTGTAACATTTATGTACCAAATGTCTGATCCCAATATGTACACTAAATAAGGAGTAAACCAATAAAATCCTAAAAGTGATTCCCATATTTCAATAAAGTACATCTATCTATCTAAGTAAGCATTCAGCAGCTTCTAAACTGTGGACTCGTTCCTACAAATCAAGCAGTTTGACTCAGAATAAGTAAAAGCTATTATAAGCAGGTTTGCATTTTTGGTAACTTTTCATTTTCTGTAAAAAAAAAAAATGCAGTGTGTAAACAAAATATATAGGCTCTGATGGATGAAATAAAGAAAGGATCATTTGGTTTACCATTACATAAACATTAAAAACACATTAAAAGGCAGCAGGAATTACTTAGTGTGAAGGGACATAACGAGGAAACGCTTCCCCATGTCCTTGAGACAAACTCTAGGATCCTAAAACAGACTCAGTGAAGCAAATCTAATTATAACTACAATATGTAAGTAAGAGAGATGTATGGGTATGGTTCATAGAGTCTTCCCTCTTTCTCCTAACACATCCTCCCTCCCCACTGTTCCTGAAACCTCTCCTCAGGCGAGTGCAGACTGCACTTTATGGACGGCCTCTTGAGAGGAGACGGCACTTCAGGTTTGGCTTTTTGACCGGTGGTGGGCACAGGACTGCACGGATGGCTTCGTCGAACACTGTCTTAAGGCCACGCTGAGTTAAAGCTGAGCATTCCAGATATTTCACAGAACCTGTACATAGATTAG